AACTCAAAATGGATTAGAGACCTAAATGTAAGACTGGACACTATAAAGCTCTTAGAGGATAACATAGGAAGAACACTTTTTGACATAAATCACAGCAAGACCTTTTATGACCCACATCCTAGAGTAATGGTAATAAAAACAAAAATAAACAAATGGGACCTAATGAAACTTAAAAGCTTTTGCACAGCAAAGGAAACTATAAACAAGACAAAAAGACAACCCTCAGAATGGGAGAAAACATTTGCAAACGAATCAACGGACAAAGGATTAATCTCCAAAATATATAAACAGCTCATGCAGCTCAATATCAAAAAAACAAACAACCCAATCAAAAAATGGGCGGAAGACCTAAATATACATTTCTCAAAAAAAGACACACAGACGGCCAAGAGGCACATGAAAAGATGCTCAACATCACTAATTATTAGAGAAATGCAAATCAAAACTACAATGAGGTATCACATCACACCTGTTAGCATGGGCATCGTCAGAAAATCTACAAACCATAAATGCTGGAGAGGGTGTGGAAAAAAGCGAACCCTCTTGCACTGTTGGTGGGAATGTAAATTGATATAGCCACTATGGAGAACAGTATGGAGGTTCCTTAAAAAACTAAAAATAGAACTACCATACCACCCAGCCATCCCACTACTGGGCATATACCCTGAGAAAACCATAATTCAAAAAGACACATGCACCCCAATGTTCATTGCAGCTCTATTTACAATAGCCAGGTCATGGAAGCAACCTAAATGCCTATCGAAAGACAAATGGATACAGAAGATGTGGTATATGTATACAATGCAATATTACTCAGCCATAAAAAGGAACAAAATTGGGTCATTTGTGGTGACATGGATGGACCTAGAGACTGTCATACAGAGTGAAGTAAGTCAGAAAGAGAAAAATAAATATCATATATTAAGGCATATATGAGGAATCTAGAAAAATAGTACAGATGAACCGGTTTGCAAGGCAGAAATAGAGACACAGATGTAGGGAACAAACGTATGGACACCAAGAGGGGAAAGTGGGGCGGAGGATGAATTGGGAGATTGGGATTGATATATATATATATATATACTAATATGTATAAAATAGATAACTAGTAAGAACCTGCTGTACAGCACAGGGAGCTCTGCTTCGCTGTACAGCAGAAACTAACACAACACTGTAAAACAACTATACCCCAATTAAAAAAAAAAATCTTTTGAAACTTGTTTAAAAATAAATAAATAAAAATACTACCTTGCTAAATAGCAAAAGAAAAAAGAAAAGAAAACTGAGATGATGCATTTCTTTTTATTCTTTTTTTGGCCATGCCACGTGGCATGCAGGATCTTAGTTCCCTGACCAGGGATCGAACCTGTGCCCCCTGCAGTGGAAGGGTGGATTCTTAACCACTGGACTGCCAGGGAAGTCCCAAGAGATGCTGCATTTCTAACAAGGTCCCGGGGGATGCTGCTGGGCCGTGGACCACACTTTGAATAGCAAGGGCTAAAGCCACTGTAACTGGTATCATGTAGCCTGGAGCCCAAGCACTGTCAATGGCAGAATGGCCCAACCCTTGTGGGGAGCCCTTGTTCCTCAGCCCTGAGACCTGGCTGCATGCTGCATTTCCAAATTTCTCTGTGCCTGCCCTTTGCATCTCTCACCACACTGCTAGTTGCGTTGCCAGTGGAAGGCAGGGTCTCTGAGAGGCCCGGCCCAATTGTCTGGCACACTGTAGGTACTAAATGAAAATCCACTGTAGGTGCTAAATGAAAATCCCTGTGCCCACTTGCAGGAATAAACACACCTGGCACCACCAGGGGCTGCAGGCTGGCAGGGGCTCCTCAAACATGCCGGCTCCCTATAAGCCTCAGCTGGGCTGGCAAGAGCCCAGGGGGAGGACGGTCACACCCCCTCCTGTTTCAGAGCCTGGCATCTGGGTCCCGCCAGTGCCCAAAATACCTCCAGAACAAAGAGGAGGCTGACCACAGCTCAATGTCCCCACCTGTCCCTTCGACTTCCCTTCCTCACCCAGGTGTTGGAGGAAGGGGGTAGCACCTGGTTGGGCTCCACGAAGACTCAGCCCCCCTTGCGAGGGCAAGGCTCTCCCTGATCCTTGCTCAACTGTCTCAAGACACCCACCGCAAACCTTTTAATAACCAGAATCATCACAGCCAACATTTATCCCGTGCTTATCCTGTGCTAAGCACATTCTAGACACAATTATAATGGGGGTGGCTCACTCTATCTACTAGGATGCAACTGGCCACGAGGAGCAAAATACTCAACTTACAGTGGCTGAATCAACAAACAACAATAACAATAGCTAATAATAATAATGCTTGCTATGTGCCAGCCACTGTTCTAAGTGTTTTACATATATTAACTCACTGAATCCTCACAACAACTCTATTAGTGGTCTGTACTATTATGGACACCTTTCTATAGATGAAGAAACTGGGACCAGAGAGGTAAAGTAACTTCTGTAAAGCTACACAGCTCTTAAGAAGCAGAAGTGAGGCTAAAACCAGGGTTGTCCGACTCCAGAGTCCTGGCTTTGAATACATCTGTAATATAGCATACTCTCTGGTCCCTTAAATCACACGACAGCAAATGACAACGAGAGGCACCTCCTAAGCACCTGTCACGTGCAGGCATCATCTCATTTCTTCTTCACGACACCCTCCTATGCTGCTCCCCTTGGACAGGTCATGTGGTCTCTCCGAGCCTTCAGCTCCTCTTCTGTAAAATGGGAATATGGGTTTGACCCCCTGCTGTTGTTCGTTGCACCATGTTGCCGCCCCCGTGACCTGGTCTTCTGACCTGTCTGCGAGGCCAACAGACGAGATATTTATCCGCCTCCCTAAAGCTCAGAGGACTACAGACATGGCCAAGGCCATTCAGGGGGTCAGTGGCCAAGCCAGGACTAGTACCCAGATCTCCTGACTCCCTGAAACTCAGCAGGGACCCACTGCTACCCAGATGCCTAGAATATCCTCCTCCAAGTTTTGCTGCCTTGCCAAGTTTCTTAGGTTAGAGAAAACATTTGTTCCCTCCTTCGTCCTCCTCCCCTCCCTCTCCCTCCCGCCTGTCCTCCTCCTCTTCTCGCCCTCTGGAAAGTCTCCCTAGGAGGTGGGTGGACCGGCAGAATCTGCCAAGGCAAGGCCATTCAGAGATCGGAGACGCCCCGTTTAGGAGGGGCTGAGGGGGAGAAGGCTTTCAGGTGGCAGAGCCCCTAGCTGCGAGGCAGGGCCAGAAACAGGACGGGAGCAGAAGGTGGCAGCTGAGCCCCAGTCCCACCTCCCAGCAGCCTGGCTGGGTGTCTGGCCTTGGACAAGCCACTCAGCCAGGACTGTCCAATGGAACTTCCTATGATGACGGAAATGGTCGACGTCTGCACAGTCCGATACAGTTGGTGCTGGACACATGCTGCTACTGAGCACTTGAAATATGGCGAATGCAACAGAGGAAAAGAATATTTAATCTTAATTCATTTACATTTAAATAGCCACATTCGTCCAGGGTCTATCATACTGGACAGCAGGGCACTTAACTTTTCCAAGCCCCAGTCTCCTCTTGTGCTTGACAAGGATGGTGATACCCCTGTCCTCCTTGGCCAAGGACGGCTGAGACAATGAAGCAATGGGGTGCTGTGGTACCAGCCCCGGCTGAGAGTTGGGACTCCTGGGTTCCAGACCTATTAACGTGCTGTGTGATCCAGGCCAAGCCCCACAACCTCTCTGAGTGCCCTGGTCATCTGTACAATTAAGAAGTCACTTTGGATCAAAGTTTCCTTGCCAGGGATGGGGTTTAGGAGAATGTAGGAACCCGCTACAGTTACACGAAGTGTGTCTGTATGACTGTGCGGGTAAGAATGAGTGTCTGTGGGCGCTTCCCCGGTGGCCCAGTGGTTGAGAATCCGCCTTCCTATGCGGGAGACGCGGGTCTGATCACTGGTCAGGGAACTAAGATCCCACATGCCTCAGGGGAACTAAACCCGCGCACCACAACTACTGAGCCCGAGCACCTCAACTAGAGAGCCCACGTGCCGCCAACTACAGAGCTCACATGCAGCAGCAAAAGGTCCCGCATGCCACAACGAAGATCCACGTGCCACAACTAAGACCTGATGCAGCCAAAAAAATAAGTAAATGAAATTTTAAAAATTTTTTTAAAAAATGAGTGTTTGTTTGTATTCGGGTGCATATGTGTATATTTATCAGGGGAAAGCAGGCTCAAAGCTTTCCCAAAATTCTCAGAGGGGTCCATGATTGTTCCAACAATGAGAGCCCCAGTCTAGATTGGTCTTCTCCCAGGGAGCCTTTTAAAAATGGAATTCCCAGGCTCCACTGTCAAGGAATGTGATTCAGCAGCTTGGACTTGGGGCCCTGAGATCTGTATTTGTAGCAAGTTCCCAGCGATTCTAATGTACAGCTGGGGGAGAGAAACACAGGCAAGGAGCCAATTGGACCTAATGTTTTATGACTTGATGTGTGTGAAACTCCTCATCAAGCAGTAGTACACATTTTTAAAAACCAATTGGGATTTAAGGAACTAAGAGAGTAAAGAGGAAATAACAACGATCCTAACAAAACCCCTTCCAAGCCCCTTCTTCATTTACTGACACTGCTTTGCCAGCCACTGTGCCATGTGCTTTATAAATATTAACCCATTTAATCCTCATAACACCCCCTATGAGGCTGGCAGTACTCTCCCCATTTTACAGACGAGGAAACTGAGGCACAGAGAGGTGACTTGCCTAGGATCACACAGCCAGTGAGCGGTGGAGCCAGGACTGAGATCTAGACAGCTGGGTACCAGAGTCCATGCTCCATCACACTCCCTCAGAGCACCCTTGCTTCATCACTTCCTTCTGAGGATGAGGATGACCCAGGAGCCCTGAGTTAGCAGCCCTCCCAGCCTGAGGCTGACCCAGGGACCCTGGAGGGCGCTGCTCTGTCCCTCCCGCCCCGTCCCACGCCCAAGACAACTGCGGGCCCCACACTCACTTGCCCTCAGAGCCGTAGCTGTTCATGCTGTCCTCGATGGACTCGTGGCTGGCCTGGCGCAGCGTCCTGCTGGGCATCTCCACCGCCAGGCCCGTCTCCGTGCTCCTCTGGATGGCCCCCTTCAACCTCCGGCTGTCCCCTTCTGGGCAGAGTGGCCAAGAGAGATGGGGGGAGAGACATGGGGTGGCAGGGGACAGAGAGACCAGTCCTCTGGTTAGTGTTTCAAAGGCTGGTGGTGGCCCAGCTTCGGCCTCTACCATCCCCATCCCCAGTCCATCAACCTCCTCCCACCACTGGCCTCACCTGCACCCACCCTCCCTGGGACAACCCTGCCCTTTACACCCACCCAACAAACAGAAATCACATGAGTTCTCTTAGCTGGCAGATTCATTTACATGTACTTTTTTTTTTTAATTGAAGTATAATTGATTTAAAATACTGTGTTAGTTTCAGGTGTACAGCAAAGTGATTCAGTTATTTTTTTTTCAGATTATATTCCACTATAGGTTGTTACAAGATACTGAATATAATTCCCTGTGTTCTACAGTAAGTCTTTGTTGCTTATCTATTTTATGTACTATAGCTTGTATCTATCTGTTCATCCTATCCTCCTAATTTGTCCCTCCCTCCCTCCCTCTCCAATTTGGTAACCATAAGACTATGTCTGTGAATCTGTTTCTGTTTTGTATGTAGATTCATTTGTATTATTTCTAGATTCCACGTATAAGTGATATCATATAGTATTTTTCTTTCTGTCTGTCTTACGTAAGTATACTATTCTCTAGGTCCATCCAACATGTACTGTTTCTTGAACTCACTTCTTCCCTGCAACCTTCTCCAAATCATTTCCCTCCTCCTTTTCAGCTACTATTTACCGAGCACCTACTATGTGTCATATTCTCTGTCAAGTGCTTTTCATGGATTTAGACCAGGGTTTCTCCACCTCGGCATAACTGGCCATGTGGATGCATTATTGCTTAGCTGTCAGGCACTGTCCTGTGCACTGTAAAGGTCCAACAGTATCCCTGGCCTCTACCCACTAGATGCTAGTAGCACCCTCCCTCCAGTTCAGTCATGGCAGTCAAAAATGTCTCCAGGGCTTCCCTGGTGGCGCAGTGGTTGAGAGTCTGCCTGCCGATGCAGGGGACACGGGTTCGTGCCCTGGTCCGGGAAGATCCCACGTGCCGCGGAGCGGCTGGGCCCGTGAGCCGTGGCCGCTGAGCCTGCGCGTCCGGAGCCTGTGCTCCGCAACGGGAGAGGCCACAACAGTGAGAGGCCTGCCCCTGGGAATTCCCTGGCAGTCCAGTGGTTAGGACTCAGTGCTTTCACTGCTGTGGCCTGGGTTCAATCTCTGGTCAGGGAACTAAGATCCCGAGAGCGGAGAAGGGGGCCAAAAAAAAAAAAAAAAGTCTCCAGACACTGCCAAATATCCTCTGGGGGGTGGGGGGGCAAAAATCACCCCTGATTGAGGACCACCGATTTAGACCACTGGCACCCTGCCCAGGTTTAAATCCTGGATCTCTTTCTACTAGCTGTGAGACCTTGGGCAAATTACTAGTCTCCCTGTGCCTCCACTTCCTCGACTGTAAAATGGGAGAGCAGGGTCATTATGAGGACGACGGCCCTCTGCCCTTCTATTCCCTCTCCCGTCAGCAGCTCACACCTTCGCTTCCACTCTGTGATCAGACGTTATCTTAACCAAGCTCTCCTAGATCATCTCCTGGCCCCTCCCACCCCCGGCCCTTCTCCACCCAGCGCCCTGCTTTGGCTTTCTTGCTGACACTTACCACCCCTGACATGTTCTGCACTACTGGTCTATTGACTAGCTTCCTCCATGCAGAAGGTAAACTCCATGAGGACAATGCATTTCACTGTGTGGCGTGTTGAAGCCTCAGGGCTGAGAACACAGTCCAGCCATTGTAGGTGCTTAATTAATAACTGCTGGATGAATGGGTGTCTGCCCTGAGACTGGTCTTAATCCTCAGCCGCCCAGGAAGCGGCGGCTCCTGCTCTCCCAGCTTTCACACCGAGCACGTGGGATTAAGGCGCGAGGGTAAGGGATTGGCCTGCGCGTAGAGCCGGAAGGCGGGACTGGGGACGCGGGGCGCCATTTGACCCTGGGGCGGCCTTTTGGCTCTGTGCTCCACATCCTTGAGATCACGGCAGGCTTTCCGTCTCCCACCGCCCTGGAGGGGGTGTGGGTTTGCTAGAGGTGGAGGCGGATCTTTAGTGGGACCTTCCCCGTCTCCCCACAGAGGCCGGGATGAGCTGACAGACCCCAGGGCCTTGACCAGTGCTCGCTGACTGACCCATCAGGGGACAGCAGTGCCACCCAAACCCCGCGATCCTGCTCAGCAAGAGGATGGGGGCGGAGCCTGTGTGCCAGGAAACAGGGCGAGGCCAGGACGCCTCCTACTGGTCTTCTCCTGGCTTCCCTCCTCCCAACTCAACGACGGTGTCCCCTTCCTCCCTGACTTGCCAGCAGACAGACAGACACGTGCACACACACGCAGAGGTACAGGTGCTCTGTGTGTGCTTCTCAGAGTGTGTGCCCTCATGTTTCTGTCCTACATATATCTGCGTAATTCAGACACAGATGTCCACATACTCAGAAAATCACACACACACACACACACACAGGAAAATGTGAAAAGACACAGTATGTTAATGTATGTCTAAGTGTCTATATTTGTGTGTTGCCATGGGTCTCCACACAGCTGTCATTCTGTGCTTCTGAGGCTAAATGGGCATGTGTGTCTGGGCATGTGCCAGTCACATGCAGACACGTGGCTGTAAGAAGTGTACACCAACCCACTCAAGAAAGCACACAGAGAAACCGACACAGCGCGCGTGTATGTGTGTGTATATGTGTGTGTGTCACCCTGGGTTATTTCTGAACACGTGGGGGAATGTGTGTGTCCCTGTGTCTGTTTCCCGTCATTCCACACTTTGTTCTTTCCCT